ATATGTATCGTTGGATGTGAATTTTGGCCTTCTAGCGAATCATTATTGTTAATCTGGATGTCCATGAGAGAGAGAGAGAGAGAGAGAGAGAGATTTGTAGGTTAGTCACTTTCGTGTTGCTATGATTTTAGAAGTTTGGATTACTTTGCTTGAATTATCCTGCATTTTCACTATGATTTTAGAAGTTTGGATTACTTTGCTTGAATTATCCTACATTTTCACTTGAGTTTTTCGAACACATGCCTTTAAACATAAGGTACTTTATTTTTCTCTCAAATTTATTGAACTCTTTTTGCATACTAAGATACCAATGTTCATTTTCATCAAGTTTGTTTCGAAAGACACATTTGATTCCAATCACTTGATTAATCTTATGTTTGGGAACAAGTTTTCAGACATTATTCTCTCAAAATGATTTAACTCTTTTTTTCATAAAAATAGACCAATGTCTATGAATGAGAACTTCATTGAAGTCCTTTAGATCAATTGGAAAAAAACCATATAAGTTGCATACTTGGTTAAAATAGTGTCGAGTGATTTCCCTTAAGAATATCCCCTATTACATTCTAGATTGGATGATCTATTGATTTTTTTGGGTAACTCTTGATTCTCTTTACTTATTTCTTCGAGTTGATCATTATTTTTATCTTTAGCTTTATATTTGTCCTTACTTTTATCTTTGTCTTGATCTTGATCTTCTAAGAGGATTTTCTCTAGAATATCTGCACAATCAAACACATTTATCTATACCGACTCGGGGTTAGTTTCATTAAGGTAACAAGGATTTATTCTTCTATAGTTGAAGTTTGTTTATTAAAGATTCTAAAAGCTTTACTAGAAATGAAATATCCTAAGAATATAGCTTCATTAACTTTAGAGTTCAATACCTCTCTCTGTCAAATAAAACGCCAAAAACTTGCTAGCCTAACGCTGAAGATACATTTTTTGACTTAAGACTCATGTTATATCGTCAAACAAGGATGAACACGTTGGTGAGATGTCCATCGTCCAACTTCTCTTTCTTAGATTTGACAATCATATCGTCCATGTATACTTCTAACATCTCACCAAGTTCTCCTTTAAGCTCTTGTTCATAATCCTTTGGTACGTTAAACCCGCGTTTTTTAGGCCAAAGAGTGTGACGATGTATCAATAATTGACATGTTTTGCCATTAAAGCGTTCTTGTCTCTATTTGTTTTGTGTGCATTGGGAACTAACTGTATCTAAAGTAAGCATCCATTAATTATGGTATCTTTTATCTAGACGAATTATTTTCTAGCTTATAATGTTAGGTGCATAAATCTTTAGAGCATGATTTGTTGAGTCTTTGTAGTTAATGTAACACTCCGATTTTGATTATTTTATATTTTATTTGAGTTTAGAGTGATTTAATTTAATTTAATTAATATTATTGAGATTGTTGGGTTTTAACAGAAATTATCTATATTTTTATTTATTGAAATAGTGTAGAAAGTGGGAATATGTGGTTTTGGGGGGAAAATAGATTTTTAATTAAATTATAGTTGTGTATGGAATTAGTGAGAGTTGAGGGAAGTTGGTAAAATTAATTAAAAGAAAAATAAATAGGGATTATTTTAAATAGAATGGATGGAAGAGAGTTTGACAATACGTAGAAGTTGTCATCAGAGTTGAGAGAAAAACCCTAGCAGAGCAAGAGTCAGAGAAGAGTTTCCATAGGCAAAGCTTCAACCTTTTTTCGTGAATTCGAAGTATGGGGAATTGTTCATGACATGGGTGTTTAAACATGAAGGATAGAGAGAAGTATTTATCTTCATTTATTTTTCCTCTCCTTTTCCCTCCATTGATGTGATATTTGAATCTTGAGATGGTTTGTGCAAAACCTCTCTAAATTATTGTGATGTGATGTTCTTTTCGTGCTATGTTAATTGTTTAATTTCGTGTGGGCTTATGTGCATAATTTTGATTTTGATGCTCCTGAGTATAGATGATGATTTGATAAGATACGATGATGATTTAATGTTAGATTTATGATATATATGTCAAATATGTGATGTTTGATGCGACTAAATATTGTATTATTTATGTTTGAGGAATTGTTATGCGTATGAGGTTATTTGGAATCCAAATCGGAGATCTGGAGCTGCAATCATGCCGAAAAATATGTTTTTCACGTTCGACATAGCAATGAGGGTCAATCTTCACCGTAACGGGGAAGAAGACGCCAAACGTCAACGATGACGGGTGTCAGACGAGTGAAGGTCCAGCCTCAGCACTTTATGTCGAGCGCAATTTCCCCAAAATGTCAGTGATGACGAACGGTTAAAAGAGGATGTTAGATGCGTTGGGATGACGACCATCATGCTTGGAAGGCTGTCTGTCAGACCTTGTGTTTACCGATTATGGTCGTTAACTCAATTTTTTGAGTAGTTTCCGATTCTAATGATTGTTTGATGTTGTTTGATGAGTGTTGATGAGAAAAATATAATTTTGAATATTATGATTGAGTTTATGATGAATGCCTCATGAAAAAGAAATTGTTGATGTTGAGATGTGTGGTTCGATGGAACCATTGATGTGGCCTTACAATGGAGATGAGTATTATTAATGTGTTTTAGGTTTGAGAGGAACCAGTGATGAGTATTGAAGTTGGAAGTGGATACGAGTATTAAATATCTTTGTGTAGCATTCATGCATCCTGTACGTCGGAGATAGGTAGGACTTCGGTCTAGTGACTAGTAGGACTTCGGTCCAGTGACGAGTAAGACTTCAGTTCAGTGACGAGTTGGACATTTCAGTAATACACCTCTGAATATCTAAATTATTGGTACCACATACATGTGAGTAGAAGAGATGAATACATTGCATACATAATTGCACATGTCGCATGATTTATGTTGTTGGATTGTGTGATTAATTAATTATGCTAATTGTATTATCTTTGCTATTTTATGCACTGTTAACATATGTGAAGCATTCTCACACCTTTCTTTTTTCTATGTTGTCTTATACGTCTGTTGTGTAGATACTCAAGTAGAGACTGGTGAGGATTAACGGTTGCTTGTTTTTGAGGATGACATAGTTGGTCTTCTTCGTTGTTTAATATTTTGCGTTGTTTAGTTTTCTGCATGTCACTCTTGTAGCACTGGGTTGGGAATACCTTATTATCTTTTTCTGCGAGTTGTTGAAGTAACTATTTTATGATTAAATGAAGTGATATCTATTCATTAGACATTGGAGTTTCATTGAAGGTTATTTTCTGTTGCTATTATAATTTGAGAATGTTATGCTGAGAATTGTAACACTCTTTCATATTTTATAATTCCGCATTATTTATAAATTATTTTTTAGGGTTTAGGGTGTTACACTTAACACACATCCTTCACTTTAATGATGTTATCTTAACCAGGACGACATTGGACAACCTCTCACTACACTTTCATCATAAATAAAGTTATCCTGAAGGAGCTCCGAACATTGTCCCCAGTAGGCTCGACTTTTTCAGGGGATTCGCACCTTCTTCTTTGAGCATAGTACCTGACAGATGGATCAATGTTCAACTGATGATAGACCATGCTAGAGTCAGAGTCGTCGGCCATCTTATCAGGAGAAATAACAAAGAGATCAACATTATTGTTACGGTATTTCATCTTCAGGTGAGCTATAGAAGCGACAATGTCAAGAGCTACAAAGAAAAGCCTTCCTAATATATAGTTGTATACATTTTCACAGAGGACCATCAAGAATTGTATGTTTTCCATCTTCACATATCTTCCTTCTCCAAAAAAGACCATCAATTCTATACGGTTCTAAGGGGTGTTTTATAAAATCGTTGAACGCCTGCAAGTCAGTGCACTTGTAAGGAGATAATCTTCCCCTTTCCAACCCCAATTCTTCGAAGAGGTCGGCATATAGAATGTTGCATGAACTAATCCCAACAATGAGGATTACTTCGTCGGGGATACGACCTACCTTTTTATTGTAACGAAAACCTAAAATGAGTCTTTCATCTTCTAATTTCCCTTCTTCATCTTTTTCTTTCAATTCAAAAGTTTGTCTTTTTTTCGTTTTTGTGTTAGCTTATTTGCACAAGATAACCCTCTAGTTATCGACGAGATGACAGGGTGTAACAAAGCAAAAGAAGATGGATTTGGAGCAGTGGCGCTCTGACGAGCGATTGATTGAGTTTCTCTAGAAGCATCCATTGTTGACAATTACACAAAGACAGAGTAATCAAATTGGTTAACATAAACAATTGCAGTGGTGCAACAGAAAAGTTCATACGATTTTGTTGTAGGATTCCGTGAGATGAAATGATTCCTACAGACTGTGCCACTATTCCAAAGTGAAATATAAATTTGGTGAAGTGCTGACAAGGATGGTCGTAGAAACTCTGGTACGACAATAAAGGTCTTCGGAGGGCACAAAAAATGGTGTACCTATAAGGTTAGCACTCCAACGCTCTGGTTAGTAAGGTCAAAGAGGTGTAATTTGCAAGAGTAATTGAATCATACATTAACTTAGTGTGTGATCGCGTTGTATATGAGTGACGGTTAAAACCACCACAATTGAATGTGGTGCGGAATATGGAAGACTGTCAGATTGATTCCAACGGCTACGATGAGCATCGTTCCGATTTTTGATGAACGGCCTCATAGCCAGATTTTATGTGTTGTACATCTTTAGGGAGAAATTCAAGATTGAACCTTTGAGTTAGCCTAGTCTTAAAGCTCAACAGTGACTGTAAAACACGGGATTTTAACAATGTTTGACACTGCTTTGTGTATGTAGTGTCTAAATTTAAGTATGAATCCTTTTACGAGAATGAAATCAGAACATAAAATTAATCTATCTGCACGAGTTACTATTTGTAATTAATTGGCAGAAAAGTTCATGGCCCAGTACCACTTATTATACAAAGAAAGATACACACAAACGGTTTCATATGAAAATAAAATTATATTACAGAGGCACTGAAATATTATAATAGTAGACATCCTTTCAATGTTGACAAGCATAATTATGGATGGAAATTGCAAGCTGTTTTAAGGTCTTGTGCAGGGTTGTCACCTGCAAATCCAGCGTCCACCCACGCAGAATAGCCTCCACCCATGTTAACAATTTTTTGAAATCCCTGCGTTACATTACAACATCATTATCCATGACATAAAGTCGGTCCAATATATTTAAACTTTGTTATAGACTTACCGATTTATGGAGATCAACACAGGCTCGACTTGATCTTCCACCACTATTGCAAGCCTGAATTTTATTATAATCAATTATATCATGCATAAACCTATTTTATATTGTTTTATATTTGTAGTGAACGAAAAAGCTATAAAGTACTTACCACAATTAAGTGATCCTCACTCTTATATATTGCTTCTACTTGGCTAACAAAATCAGGATTTATCACCCGTCCTGTTAATCATTTGCAAACTCCTCATATGCTATTAATAGAGAAGAAAAATTAATCTCAAGTGATTACTATTAAATTGACAATATATATTACCTTCTTCTGTCTTGAACATATAGGGGATATTAATAGCATTCTCGACATGGCTTTTGTTGAATTCCTCCACTGACCTATTCAAAAGGACAAAAGAATGAAAAATAAGAACTCAGGTTTCTTCTTTTAAAAAGTATTTTAGGTGTCTATGAAACTCAAATCATTTGATACCTCACATCAAGATAATTGTAACCAGATGAATGTAGCAGATCTTTGGCACCATGGACGTCTAAGGTAACAACATTTTGATGACTACAAATATTGGAGATAAATAGGAGTTTACATCAAATAACATAAATAAATATAGAATGGAATATATTTTGAACTCTTACTCCTTTGTGGTATCCATTATATTCTTTGTAAATAAAGATTAGCACTCCTGAAAATTATTTATCAATGCATTGCAAAATAATTATTTGTATGAAGGGTATTTATGAAATGAAAACTTAGCATTACTAAGGTTTTTGGGATCTCTATAGCGTATAGTCGTTGACCTTGTTAAATGTGTCTTTTTCTTTTGCAACTTGTATTTTTTAGTTGCATCATTTTGCAAGTTGTTAATAACATATAAAGGTCAACTCTTGTCGTGCAAACCAAGTATACGTAGTACTAATATTAATGTAATATAGTATGCACATATTTTCTTTTTTAAAAATGTTTTCTAGCATTTGAGAGAGATAAAGTTAACTTTATTTGATAAATTGTTAATGGTTAGTAATATATATTCTCTTTTATTAAGGATTAAACTCATAATATCGAATATCCTTAGCTCAATTAATTCATTCACTAAATGGTTGGAATGAGATCATTAAAGATTATAATTTCGAGTTTAACTATCTTCTTTAAAATATTTTAATAAATCAACAGTTAATATACTAATATTAACGGAATAAAATAAAATGTTTGTAACATTTGATCCCTTCTAAGAATGAGTATGTGAGTTATATGAGTTGACTATGATTTTAATATTTTGGGTTACGTCACCTAAATGTTTAAGATAAACATTGTTCTTCATGTGCAAATGTAACGACTTTCTTTTATTAATTAAAAAACAAATTTTGTCTTGGTTCATCTCACTCAAATCAGATTGATAGTTGGTCCAATATGAAATTATGAACCACAACTAGGACTTTCGGATGTTAAATTTGATGGCCATGATGATTAGAATCTTGTGATGACTTCTATATGACTGGTATCTTGACACTTTAATTTAGAGGTGGAGGTGATACTGTTAGATGCTAAACTTTGCTTTATTATTCTATCAAATGTTGGCATCTTTCATTTTTTTTTTTAGATAAATTGATTTGAATCACTTATGTTTTGGATGATATGCTTCATTGCTTGAAAATATCTTGGTTGCTTTGATTTGTGTGCTATTGTGCAGGAATTAAGCACAAAACAAGAAGAGTAAGACACAAGAATATTGACAAGGAAACCAAGGCAGCAGAAAATCATCATGAAGTTTGTTGTGCGAAGCTCCTAGCGAACTTCTCCAGAAAAATCATCAACAAGTTCGCACAACAAACTTGTCAGCGAAGACCCATGGGAGCTTGGCACTGTTCACACAGAGAAGAAAGGGACCAAAACTCGCTGTGCGAAGAAGCTAGCGAATGGTTCGCGGGAGCGAAGATGTAGCGAAGTGCTAGCGAATGGTCTCAGACATGAGGCAGTAGGTATTTGGATAAGAATTTGCTGTGCGAAGGCTTCGCAGTGCGAAGGATTGTTCGCACAGCAAACATGAGGAAATGTCTCAGGGCGGTTTAACTGTACAATGGCACTTTAAGTGCCACATTTGGATGTTCTGTAGGCAAACAGAAGGTTCGCAGTGCGAATGTGACAGCACAACAACATGGCTATAAGTACTTGAGACCACTTTTTAGCAAAAACCACTTTTTGATACCTTTTCATATTTTCATATTTTTCAGCAAGAAAACCCTAGTTCTCCCATTTTTCATCGTCTTTTAGCCATCTTTCACAAAAAGAAGGTGGATTTCCATCTAATCTCGATTTTTCGACTTGGATGTTGATTAACCTTATTCTGAAACTTGTTGCTCAAGCTACCATGGAAATGGGTGGCTAAACCCCTTTTGTGTCAAGATTAGAGGTAATTAATTCTGATTTTATGTATTTCTTTTAATATTTTGTATGTGAACAAAGCTTTGATCAATATAGATGAAGTTATTTTCTATATTTTATTGTATTTATGGTTTGGATTGCTTTAGACATAAACTTTTCAAGTCTTGGCCTAATTTCTTCATCTATCAACTAACAAACTCTAGACATAGATTTGGAAGTTGATATTTGCATTGTATTGATCTTAACGATTACTATTTCGGGTGTTATTTAGAGAGATCATTTAACAGTAGAAACAATAATATTCACGAAATCGCTTTAGAGATAAACGGTTTTGCAAGGATACACAATTATATTTGTTGAAACTAAGTTCACATATTCGATTGATTGGATACATTTAAGACTAATTAGTGAAACCTAATCTTGACATGTTTTTTATCAAACAAGAAACAATTTTTACCTTGTTTTACTTCTTGCAAACTTATGTTACCAAATAGAAATCATTTGAAAACCCATTTACTTAAGTCACTAAAATATTGAACGGTAATCATTAAATATTCTCGTACAATCCTTGCGGATACGATAAAATACTCCCGACTACACTATTCTAACAAAATGGCGCCGTTGCCGGGGATTGTTAGTAGGATATTACAAGCATTGAAATAGCTTAATGATTTTAAGATTTGTGTATTGTGAATCTCTTATCTTTGTAATTCTTTGTGCTTTTTGATCTGTTTAGCTTGTGTGCAGAATTCGTTTATACGAGGACAAGTCCGACTTGAAGAACTTCTTTTTGATCCTGAGATTGAAAGAACTGCTCGCGGACTCAACAGTCAAACAAGGTGGAGACGGAAACAAGCTAGGGAAAGACAAGAGCGTGAGGAATCTTCTTCATCCACTCCACCAGTTACACCAATCATGGCAGCTCCTCCACCACCACCTCCAGCTTCAGATCCATGTACAAATAGTCCGACGCACAATGCTAAGTTTGCGTGCAATCTCCAAAATGGAAGGCAATCTAAGATGAAAACGGGAATCTTTGCACTAATTTATCAAAATCCTTTCACGGGGTTAGATCATGAGGATCCGTTTACACATCTTACCAAATTCTATGAGATTGCGAGTGAAATTGGAGCACCAGAAGCTAACGAAGAATCACTATTTCGGAGACTATATCCTCATTCTTTGATTGGAAAAGCGAAGGAATGGAATCTTGATCAGTTTACAACAGTAATAACGAATTGGCATTTGTTGGAAGAAAAGTTCCTTGAATGGTTTTTTCCACCCAATAGGTTCATGGAAGCAAAGACGACAATGGCTGTATTTTCACAAGGAGGAAATGAATCCCTCAACGAAGCTTGGGGAGAGATTCAAGTCAATGTTGAGAAAATATAAAGGACACGGTTTTGATGAACTTACGCAAGTTCACATTTTCCGCACTGGTCCCTCTCAGTTCACAAAACCTTGTTGGATGCTACGACGGGTGGTTCTTTAATGTCTAAAAGTGTCGAGGAAGCAATTGCACTCATTGACAAGATGGCGCTTAATGACCACCAAGGGAATCATAACCGTAGAGTAACTCAAAGAAAACCTGGAGTGCTAGAGCGGGTACCAACGATACTATTCTTGCTTAGAACAAACTCCTATCACAACAAGTGGAGCTTTTGAATCAACAAATGTCAAAGATTTCACAATAAATTAAAGAGATGCAAGAAGTTCCTACCAAAGCTCAAGTGGCAAGTTGCGAATTGTGTAAAGGTGACCAGCCTACCGGGTATTGTCCTTCAGTAGTGGAAGAGGTTAACTATGCCAGAAATCAAAATCAGGGATACCAACCTAGGCTGCCTTATTAACAAGCCAATCAAGGGTATCAAAGACCAAATCATGGGTATCAACAACCTTGGAGGCCGCAAGAAGCCGAAACTTCAAATCTCCAACAATACCAAAATTACACTGAACCTCCACAAACTCAAAGTGAAACTTCAAAGATGGAGAAACTCTTACTCAATTTATGAAAATGTTAATGTTAAATCAAAAGAATACCGATGCGGCTATAAACAATTTGGAGACACAAGTGGGTCAATTATCAAAACAATTGGCTGACCAACAAAAGGGGCCATTTACGGCTACCGCTCTCCCAAATCCTAAGGAGCATTGTAAGGCGATTCTCACAAGAAGTGGTAGATAAATTGACATGGGTGTAGGTGAGGAGGTAGTAGAGGAAGAGGTTGTAGTTGAAAAAGAAAAAGAAAATGTTGAGAAAGAAGTAGAAAAAAATGTTGAGGGAGAATTAGTTGAAAATGAGAGAGTGAAAAAGAGTGAGGAAAAAGAGAAAAATAAGAGAGAAGAAAAAGTGAGAAAGTCTAGGAAAGGTAAAGAACAAGTGAGCACTATTCCTGATTCAAAAATTTCCACATCCACATGTTCCATCAAGAAAAGATAGTGCGAGGCACTATGCTCGATTCATGGATGTATTCAAGCAATTGCAAATCAATATTCCATTTTCCAAAGCATTGGAACAAATGCCCAAGTATGTGAAATTCATGAAGGATATCCTTACAAAAAAGAAGAGGTATACGGATCAAGAAACTATCATGGTGGATGCTAGTTGTAATGCAATCATTCAACGTTCTCTCCCGAGGAAAGAAAGTGATTCGGGACGAGTCACATTGCCGGTTACAATTGGAAACATTTATGTTGGCAATGGGTTGATCGATTTAGGCTCTACTATCAATTTGATACCCTTATCTATTGTGAAGCGGTTCGGACACATGGAGTTGAGGTCTACTTTACAACTTGTTGACAAATCTATCACTCGCCCTCATGGTGTAGCAAAAGACGTGTTGGTAAAGGTTGACAAATTTTTGTTTCCAATCGACTTTGTGGTGATTGATATGGAAGAAGATGAGGATGCTCCCTTGATTCTTGGGTGACCTTTTATGAAGACCGTGCACATGACAATTGATATGGATGATGGTCTAATGAAAGTTAGAGTTCAATATGGGGAGATATATTTTGAAGCCATCTTACTCGAAGGACAAGATCGATTGCTTTAGAATCAATGCAACGAAAAGGGTGATCGAAGAAGTTAAAGAGTTACTACAAGTTCCCACACCATTACCACAAGTTCTTACCAATGCTCTTTCAAATGTCAATGAAAAGGAAGAAAAAGAGATTGAAAAATGCTTGCGGGAGCTTGAAGAGTTAGAAGAAATTCCCCCTTTGAATGAAAGGGTGGAAATGTTGAAAAAGGAAAACAATGAGGAAATTAAACTT